GCTAGCTAGCAGCTAGCTAGCCAGACAGCTAGCTGCGCCGAAGACCTTGCTGGGGCCCCCCTTTGGTGTCTGCGCAGATCTGCAGCAGCTGGGGGCCCCCCGGTGCATGCAGCAGCAGCAGCAAGTTTGTAGTTGGAGTTAAAAGTAGCATTTGAAGGAAATTTGAAAAGGTTTTTCCTGGACTCATTGCCGAAGTCCCGAGGGGCTGGAGGCCATTTGAAGGGGAAAAAGGCCCTTAATTGGCCCCAAATTAAAGACTTTGGTTTTTAAAAAAGAAATAATTTAATTGTTTTCTTTCACTTCGAATTTGGCCGCGAAAATCCGCAGTTTCCAGCCAGAGGCGCAGCCGTTGCTGGGGCTGGGCGCATGCGGGCCCGCGGGAGTGGGGTGGCTGGCCCGCAGCAGCTGAACGGCTTTATTTGTCTTTATTGAAGAATAAAAGAATTAAATTTAAACAGTAGACGAGTTTTTTCCTCAGGGTGTGTTGCAGGCGGAGGTGTACGTACACCCGGATCTGCAACACACTGGGGGTCATCACTGCGCTTCGGCTGAGGGAAACACTTTCGCCGGTTCTGGCCTTCTTTTTCCCGCAAATTCATTTCATTTATTCTTTTCTTCAAAACGAGTCCGGAAAGTTCCGCTTTTTTCCGGGTTTCCGCCTCCGCCACTCCGGTTTCCTCCCGCGTTGACTCAACTGCACGGCGTCGCGATCACCCCCGCTGCCGACCCTGCTGCCGAGAGATCTTCAGATTTTTTGAATTCCGGACAAATAAAAGTTCCTTTTTCTTTTATTTAGCCATGAAAAGCGCAGCAGCAGCCTCCAGCGACGCCCCGCGGGGCCCCGCGGCGGCTCTCGCGCCAGTCAGCAGCACTTCTGCAAAAGTTGAATCCGCCAGGAAAGCTGACGGCCCGAAGCCCCCAGCAGCAGAAGAAGCCGAGGAAGCAGCAGCAGACGATAAGGGAGAAGCAGCAAATCAAAAAGAAGCAGCAGTTCCCGCGTCTGTACAGTCCGCAAAAGAAACCCAAAAAAGTAAGCCCCGCCAGATCTCAGGTGTACGTGCACCCCAAACCACCCGCATTCCGCCCTCAGACCCGCAGTGCTCAGGACCGTAGCCACCTGCAGCAGCAGCAGCGGCAGCAGCAGCTGCTGCTGCTGCTGCT